CCTTCTGTTTCTTTTCTGAGCATGCCCGTCCTTTGCTGTCAATTCCAGCCCTTTTCCCCTCTCCAGGACGAGTAGCATCAGTGGGCGAGGCAGTAAGGATGGGTAAGCACCTTTCCCCTCGGGGCTCACAAAAATGTCGTCTTTGATTAGGGATGAATTATTTTAAACTTGTGTTTGAGCCGAAGTCTTTGCTATAAGTGGCCCCAGTTTCTGAAGCTAGCCTGCGAGGCTGGCCATCCACTGCCTTTCCACCTCATGAGCTTTCCCAGGCCCTGTCCCTCACTGGCCCCTCCCTCTGGCCCTGCCATGCCATCCACCTCCCTCTCTCTGTCCCCAGCCCAAGCTCATGTCCAGAGGCTCTAGGCTGCTGGTCTGGCCACATTCCAGGACTTCCTATGGCCAGCCTCATGCTGCCACTCCTCTGTCGTCCACTTCACTTGTATTCATATTCTCTATCTCCTCCGTCTGACACCCACCGTCTTGTCCACGGCAGTGAGCAGTCTGCTCACACAAGCTTATGTTCAAAGTCATCACTCCCACTTTCAGTTTTCCCCGTAATCAACAATTCACTAAAAGTAATTCCTGGGCCTCACAATAGGAACTTTTTCTATGAGCTGCAGATTTTGCCACCTCCCAATTTAACCGAAGTGAACTTCCCAACCCTTAATTGTCAAAAGAAAGCGGAATTTGATTTATACAGTTATGTTAAATAAGATTCCAGTGACAAGGCCAATTCAGGTGATTGGAAAAAGGTAAAATTGAGTCAAAGTTCTACAGGCGCAACACTACAAATTAGGAAAATTCACAGTGGAAAGTCATTCTCAGGCTGCTCTTTAATCCTATCGTCTCCTTACTGTACTGGGGACGCGTACTTAGACTATAAAGCCAACGAGACTCCTTGTTTCTGTCCTTACAAGGATGCCCATTTACCTTCGAAAAGCCATACTAATCAGTTAATGTGACTATCGCGGGAGCCTTTTATATAGACTTTTGATGTGTGTAAACTGAATTGCCAATGAATCCCAGGATGGACTCAAGAAGTCAGCAGGATCTCTCTCTGCCGGATGTCATCGTAACAGAAAGTCACCTAAAAAAAATCTCCAGCATGTAAATTACTTTAAAATCAAGCAGGGCTGTTTTACATTTTGAAGATAATAAGATTAACCAGAAGGAACTGAGAGAGAAAACCATTGTCAAGCCCAAGTGAAAAACGCTCAAAAACTATAACCATGAGAGAGCTGAGTCATCTTTGACAGAATTTCAAGGCCCCATGGAAGTCCCCAGCACCATCATAAGAGGGGGTCGCATAATTCTCTTCTTCCATGAGCCAATCAATTACACCCAGCCCTCAGTGACAGGCGTCATCAGGCCGAGTTGAAAACACCGTCACGCAGAGTAGGAGACACCACCCTTCTTTGATTTTGGGGGCGTGCTTTATCACAGCTGCATTAAACTAACCAGAAATCACATCAGACAAGGGGGAGACACATTGGATGGCTTCTGACATGGGGTACAGAGACGAGTGGGGAGATTTCAAATAAAAATGTTACAAAGATAGATGAGTTTCATCTTCAAGATCATCTTTCTGTTCTGAAAACCCAAACATCAATGTCCTAGGCCCAGAAAGTAAAACTGACAACGAATAGGATGTGAAACCAGCCCGACTACTTGTATTTCGCCATGATGCTAAAAGAAAGTGCAGGAAGTTAGGCAGCTCGATGATGTTTAAGGTCTCTCAGACGAGATCGCCAAGTTCTAACGATCATACTCAAATGTTGTTAGCAACAATAGAAAGCACAATCTAAACATGTGATTTAGGAAATTTTTTTAAAATGCATTTGGGGTTCTTTTGAGAGTCCTGAAATTTCCATAGCAGCTGCATACTTCAGTCCTGGTGGCATTTGGGGAAACACTTGTCAAATCCATATTTGGAGCCAAAACTGCCTGTGTGAAAACAATTTTTTTCCCTATTGTTGAGTGAAAATTCCATGAGCAAAAAATTCTTGCATTGTGTCCAGCAGAAGTACGTGTTTCCACTGAAAATATTACCCTAATGAGCTTGCTTGTAATGTTTACATTGGAAATAAGCAACAGGAATACACTCGCTCTCTCCCTTTCTTTTTCTCTTCTCCTACCTCATCCTCCACTCCTAGTGAGCAAGTGCAAGCAAACTGGCAGACAGTCAACAATGACAAATGCAATTGCTCTCCTCTGGGTCACAGGGAGGCCTCTAGATATCACCCTACATCTGCAACACACCCCTTAGCTCCCCCATCGTGTGTCCTCTTTAAGGAAGAGCTCAGAAGGTTCTGACTTGTAATTGTGGCAAAAGCTTTTGGCACCGCCTGTTTGCAGACTCCAGCCCAACTGGCTGAAGTAGTCTTTGCTCATTTACCAGCCAGTTCAGGTCTCAGCTGCAGTTTTCAGCTTTGATCAAAGCTGAAGCTCATATCATCACAACATCATGTGTGAGCCTGGGTCTGGAAGACCAGGAAGCAGCAGAGAGGGGACATGGAGCAAGGCTGGGCCACCTGCTCCCCATTAGGTTGAGATGAAAGGGTGCAGCTGGCTGGCCCAGGGAGAATAGGGTGTGCACGGGGGTGGGCAAGAGAAGATTGGCGAGGGGTTTCCAGGGCCTGGAACCCCACCCCTCCTTGCTGCCACTTACGTGCTTCCACTGAGCGCCAGGTACCGGACTTGGCACTTAGCGGAGAATAAGAACCCAGCCCTCAACCCAGCCTCACAGTCAGGGCATCCCAGACACACAGAGACACAGCTAATTCTAACCGATGTCAGGCGGAGGAAGGCCCAAACGGGGAAGCAGTAAAGACCTCTGGGAATAGAGAGAGAGCGAACAAAGAAATATCAGAAGGCAGCCTGCAAGGATAGCGGTGTTGCAAAATCATCCAGAAAGGGGAAAGTGAAGGGAGAAAGCAAAGGCTTCCAGGACCTTTTCTCCCTTCATTCAAATCCATCTATAGAATACCTACTAATACAATTATTTATTAACCACCTACTACATGCAAGACACACAAATAAATAAAGTATCGGTTCTGCCCTCCAAGATATCAAGACAAAAACACAAATGACTGTGGAAAAGAGTTGGTGATAAGTTATTCGATCCCACAAAGCCCCAGGGGAGCGTAGGGAGAAGCTGCCTTTGCAATGAGCCTCCAAGGCAAGCGGGATTTCAGTAGCCAAGATGGAAGGTCAGTTTGGGCAGAACTGTTGGGTCTTAAGAGAGAATAAAGGCAGGTACAGAGCTTGCTTCCATGGACTGCAGGTTTGAAGGAGGAAATCTCATGGCCCGAGGGCAGCACTCCCCTGAGCAGCATTCTGTGCTCTCTTAAGACGAGGGGTATCTGGAGCTGTGGCCTCTGTCCTGCAAAGAGGGCATCAGCATTCAGCATTTCCTGGGGCAGCAACCAGACCAGGAACCCGGGGGAGTGCCAGGCAAGAGAGATGGGCTCTACCCCACGGGCTTGCACAATTGCCTCTCAGCTTTCATCAGGGCACATCCTTTTCACAGTCCTGCGGGGCACCTCTGTCCTTCTACTCTTCTCTGAATGCCTCAAACTCCAAGCCCAGCCGCCCACCTTTCTAACATGCTGCGCAGCCCTGGGCAAGCTATTTAACTTCTCCTTGTCTCAAATGCCCCCTTTGTAAAATGGGAACGATTAAGAACAGTATTTCTCATAGGGTCCCACTGAAGATAAAACAGGCGCATGCCTCGTAGGACACTGAGCACAGCTGAGTCCTCACAAACTTTAGTTATTATTACTTATGTTTCATTACTAAGTGAGTTCGTCCACACCCATGGCTCCATCATAATTTATAAGCGGATAAGCTTTCAGTCTATATCTGCAGCTCATCTCTCTTTCCTCGTGACCAGCCCTGAAAATCCAACAGTCTGTGGACATCACCCGGTAACTCCCACAATTCCGACAGGCACCTCAAATATTTCAGACCCGTCTAAAACGGAATTCAACGACTTCCCTCAACCTTTCCTCTTTTCTCCCTGATCTGGGTGAATAACATCCAGCAGTTACCCAAAAGAGAATTCGGACGGTCATCCTAGACTTGCCTCATTTTCCATCCAATAAAAAGATCTGATCTACTCAAAACTTCTTGGTGGGTGACCGCCTCTCCACTCCGGCTCCCATGGCCTTATCATTTTTCATCTGTCCTTCCCCTCTGCCTCCAGGCTGCTTCCCCTCTGATGGTCTCCCGACAGCCAGCTCACAAGTGTAATCCCATCACCCTGCTGGGTAAACCCTCCCAGGGCTCTCATGGCCCTCCAGAACATCTATACTCCTTCCATCAGCATCTAAGGCCTTTCATGATCTCTCCTGCTATCCAGCCTCATCTTCATGAATGTGTGCTTCACACACTTAGCCCAGAGCAGGCTCTCAATAAACACCTGTGGAATGAATGAATGAATGAATGAATGAATCCTCCATAGGTTTCCCGTAAGAACCTTTCCTCTGGCCACTCTGAACTTTTTCTGATTCCCGAGGCATGTCATCCTGGAAGACAGGCGTTGGCCGGCCCTCACCTCCTGCAGCTGGCTGCCTGCTTGATCCTCTGCTTCCCAGGACCTCCCCAGCTGAGACGGGGGTCCCTCTGTGCCTTCAGGACCCCCAAGTCTGTTCCCCTTCAGAGACTATTCCCTGGGGGTCAGTTCACTGCTGGTCATCCCCACTCATCTCAGAGCTCCCTGAAGTTCAGAGTCATTCATAATTATCTAGAAGTCTCTGGAATAATGCCTAGGACTGCCTGGTCTAAAGTAGGCATTGCATTAATGATTTATTATCCCACAAATGAATGGATCAAATGCCAACCATGTAGAATAAACAATACTCGCAAAGAGAGAAGTCAATGTGGCATCTCTTTTTTTCCTTTTGGCTTTATTTCTGTAGAACTTTACAGTATATGTCACCTACTGTCTCACAAGAATAGAATAGACCTTAGTTTCCCCCCCTTTTTTCTGCCAGACTTACCTCCTGCTGCTGCATTGACAGCATTTTGGAAGGTCTACCTTTCCCTCAAATTTCTCATGGTGATTAAGGACTGTAATTGCCGCTGAATGGTCCAGTTTAGCGCAGAGAAAGCCAACCAACATTCACCAGTGGACTTTAAAGGCTGACGGGTGAAACAGCCAAGAAAAGTTCATTCAGTGCGGAGCCATAAAAGCGTGGGGGAAACTCCCTCAGGCCCTGCAAGAGCAGGCCTTTGTGATGCAATGTTCCTCACGGAATCTGCGGAAATTGCATCCTAAAACTGCAACAGACTGCGGGATAGAATAACAAGCTCTGTTATCACATCCCAGCGACACACAAACGTTGCTCATGCAAGGAAGAGCTCTGGAGAGCCACTTGTCAGGCAGGCTGCCCGGACACACCCCAACATCCGGACATTCTCAACCCCCCTCAATACTGCTTCAAAGATCCTGCACAGCATAGGCGTTCAAGGGCACGAGAAACAGGCGAAACATACCTCCCTGTTCTAAGTTTACAGTTGAAGCCTGGTCAAGAGACGCCAAGACTTTTTGACATTTTGGTTTTTTCTAAAGGATCAAGGGGTAACAAATGTGGTCACTATACCATGCATGACTTTGAAATGAATGGGATTATTTTCCCACACAGGACCAGCTGTAAAGATGCATCTTGGAAAATGCAGAGTAAACGCAATGTGTAGAGACTGGAGAAACTCTGAGTGTTTCCAAATATCTGTGAGCCCATATAATATAATATGATATGATATGATATGATATGATATCTAAGCCAGGACATTTTTCAGAGCAAAGCGAAAAATTATTACAAATGACACCGGGCCAACTAGATGTTAACCAGTTCCACCCAGGCAAATGAGCGAGCATGGTCACCTAACTGAGTCACCTGCTCTGTGAATTAAATCCTCAAGTGCAGAGGACAAAGGGCACCTTGCTTATCAAGGCCAAACGTATTGTTTACAGAAGCTCTCTCTGGACTCCACTCTTCCACTCTTCCCTGATGCAGTTTCAACCCAAATTACATAGGCATTTTTTATCAGCAAAAGCAGGCAATAAAATATGGGAAGAACTATAAGAGAACTGGGCCAGCGCTCTTGTGAAATTCTTTCAACACACCAGCATGCTTCCACAAACAGGAAAACATTTAGCAAGAGGTGTGCAAGCTGGCTAGAGATGCAACCAGATGATTCAAAGGTGACTGTCATCTGGCACACATCAGCGCTTCTCCCCTTTAAAAATAAGCCCATAAAAGTAAAGCTTTGCTCCACATGTCCAAGTGTCTCTGCATCGCAAAAATAATTTGTATTCCAATCAGGTGATTTTGAAAGAGAGGTGAGAAACGGATACATAACATATGCGCTGGCAACTTCAAAGCTTCCTTAGGAACTTCAGAACTGGCTGATTCCACAGCACTGCTCTTGTCTGTTACTTCAAGGACAGGTAATGTGAGCCGGGCTTTCTTCCAACCCAGCCCCTACCCCAAGTAAATCACCCTAAAAAATCTGAAGTCAGAGAGACCATGATTTTAAAAGTAAAATCAAGAGGGTTATCTTGCAGCATTTTCTTCTATTCACCAACCAATTTTTTACTCCTGGATCCTTCATAAAAAATAGACCCAAGTCCTCTTGACCCATCGCCAAATGCAAACCTAAAGGAATAAAGGAGCTTCCCACCATCCCACTTCTCTGCCCTAATACAGTCACCTGGTATGATGCTACTGGTGGCGGAGATTAAAGAGGAAGGCATTGTGGAGATGTTCACGGTAGGAAGAAGGAGCTGCTCCTCTGCCCTGCAGCGAGGCCATTGCCAAGCTGTGAGCCAGGACCCCCGGCTTCCAGGCAGCCTGCACAGGGCACACAGCACTGGTGGGCAGGCCTTCTGGGCTCAGCACATCTACAGATCCTGAGCAAGTCCTTTGTTCCCTTGAAACAAGGCCAGGACTCTGCTACTCCTTAGAGGAGACACAGTGGAAAAAGCAGGCAGCTGTGTGCTCCGATGCTGCACGAGCACACTAATGTTTGATTCATGGATGCTGCGGGTGTGCCCTGTGGAGGAAACCAAAGCTCCCTGAGTTCTGTTTTCCATTGACTGGCTGCATCCAATCTATTAATGCTCCAAAGTGTTGCCTCCACTGCTTCTCCTTCCCCGAGCACATTTCACACTGTGACAGAGCAAAACCTATTAATGGGAGCTAAGGTAACATTTCATTAACTCGGAATTCGCTGATCTGATATCATTCATACTAGGCTGAAGTTTAAGTTTGCCCAGTAATCCTTTTCTTCTTTCATATGGCAATTTAAATTTATAAACAGTATTTGGGGGGAAGTGTCAAAACACATCAGAGAATACATTGTTTCACACATCCAAAGCGCTCACTGCAAATAATTGTTACAGGAAATAAGACATTGTTAAATATTCACTATCGCAGCTCCCTGAAGACTCCTAAAAGGCAACGTTTCTATCTTAGATGTGTTACTGTGACTCTTTAAAATAGTCTAAAATTGGCACTGGTTGTTCCCTGAATTACTGCAAATGAGTGTCATCTCATTCAATCTGAAAGGAAGAGCGCTATGTCTAATGAACACCAACAACTGCATTTTACAGTGTTCCATATCAGTCCCCAATAAGAAGCTGATATTGACAGAGCTGCTTTTTATTTTTGAAAGTGCAGATCCACACGTTTCCAACTGCTCTGCCACTGAGCACATTGGGATTTGTGTCCAATCCCATGCTCTGTGCCCTATAGGAGATGTGAATCTAATTGGGAAGGCAAGACTAGAACTTAGGAGAATAATCGGATCCCGTGTCTGTGGCACTGAATCCAAGCAAAATAGAAAATCTCAGAAAGGCAAGAGCTTGAGCAGAATACATCCCTGAGTCAGGAGGCTGTTTCAAACCTCCAGGACATTGCACATGCCAGGCAAATCCTTCGCCACCCCCTCCAGGTACCTGTGCACTCTGGGAGACTCAGCTCAATGACTCCTACATGGGGTCCCCCTTGAGGCCCTGGTCCCCTTATTCTAATTATAGCATCAGTATGTCTGCCACTTGCCTGCATATTGTGCAAGCCCCTGCCATTGCAGGTGACACTTCACATCATAGTGTGTCTAGTTGTCTTTCTCCACGACTAGCTGTGGACCAAGCCTGTGTCACTGGGAGTTGTCAGCATCTTTCCAGGAACCAGGAACAAATTAAACTCTCAATAGTGCTTTGCTGAATGAATGAATGAATGAATGTACCTTTTCCCATGTTCTGTTTTTCGTGGAAACTTCCCGGCTTTCAGAAATTAAGTAGCAAATCAGGGCTGCCACATTTTTGCCCAGCAGCCCACCTGCATCACAGTTTTTGCAGCCCTGTGGAATCTAGACATCATTTTAAAATGTCAGCTATACTAGGCAGTTGCAAAGGTGCTATCAGTCCCCCAGAGTGGAAAGTCCCTCAGCTGAATGGACAAGTGAGCTTCCGGTTCCCGTGACCCACATCTGCGATTTCTCAGGCATTTTTACATCGTGCAAGGCTGTGCCCCACATTCAGGTGGCCTCTCTCAACTGCCACCTCATCTTCAAACATCTGTAATCACCTCCACGGCAACGACATTTCTTACATGACACTACCTGTTCATGACAATAAGTCCGTCTTCCGGCAAGAGGAAATCCAGCATCACACACAATCCCTGCAGGAGAACCAAGAACAGATGCTCTCAAGGTGGGCTAGCGTGGAGACCCCCTGGAATACAGCGGGAAGATTTCGTGCATGACCACAGCACGAAAGGATTTCTAGCTGCCTTCTTTTCATACAGAGTTTATGTTTCCACTTAGCTGAACGAAGCTGTCAGCTGGCCTTAATTCCTTTCTGACTCAGGTTTTCTATTGTCACCCTCCCCGAGACATCTGTTGCCAAAGAACCTGTATTCCGACTCCAAATCTTATTTTAACTGAAAACTAATCAGTCTTTAACCTTTCATAACTTCATGTGGTTGATTCATTCTGTTTCCAAAGTGTGAACCACTCCTCTACCCTGACCAGGTTCTAACCCTCCACATTCAGATTAAACTGGATTCTGAACTGTGCTTCGATTGTTAAGAAAGTCCTCTGAAACTCCCACCCTGCCAGCGCGTGGGTGTGTTTAATAAGTGGAGTGGGGAGTTGAGGATCTGTGCCTGGCTCTGCCTCTGCCACGCCAGGACCTCCCCGTGGTGCTGCCACCAGGGAGAAGGGGCCTGTCTGCGCTCTCCCACTTCCCCGCGCTTCCTCTTGGCCCTGTGTGGGCAAGACACCCAGAAAGCCGGCTTCCTTGTCCCCAGAAACACAGATTCCAATGGCCCCCAAATTTCTATAATGTTGGCCACCTCTCCAACAGTATCTTCCTCAGTCAATTGGTCAACGACATCCTGGGCTATCTACAGAGATGAGCAAGCTAAACGGGAGGTACAAATGACACAGTGCTAACATGGCACATGGGGAGAGCCATTGACTTCACAGTCAGCAAATCTGGCTTTGAATCCTGGCTTTCCTGCTTATGCACTGCTTATGCCTTCACAGGTTTCGCTACCTTTCTGTGCCTCAGTTACTCAGGTGTAAAAGCAATAGTCATCATACCTGCCCCACGGGAGGGTCGTGAAGATTCATGGCGATGATGTAGTTAAGGCATCAGCGCCTGGCGCACTACATAAACACTCAACCAAATGAGCACTTTATCTCTCTTCCTCTTTATCTGTCTCTACATGTCTATATTTATCTATATCTTCCTCCTTTAATTGAGTGTCAGCTTCTTGGGAGCAGATACCATTCCTGATTCACCTTTAACCCGTCAGAGAAGGTAATCACTAACTGGTAATTGATTTAATTTGTTAGATTCACACTGTAACCCAACTTTCTGTCATTTAAAAAATATTTTAGTTACTACAAGACATTGCTGAACACAAATATGGCTTCTCGTTTCTCTTTCCATAGCAGGCTTCCAGGATTTTCTAAACCTCTGTGCACAATCCTGCTTCTTGTGAGAACGCCTTCCACCCAAGGCAGCAAGAAGCTTGGGGACAAGCCTGGCAGAGAGGTACCACATAACACATGTAATGGAATGTGCATGGATGCCATCAGAACACACACACATGCACACATCCAGTCACACACACGTGCACAGGCATGCACACAGGCACACAGGGGAGGGACAGCCAAAGGGAAGTATTGAATTATAGTTAGATACACATCTTGTTTTGTGAATTCTTCACGCAGTGTCACACACAGACTACACTGTACCTGGAAAGACCAATGATCTGTTTATTTGGGCAATGTGGGGAGGGTGGTTATCCATATGCTTCAAGTCAAAAATAAATTTT